TAAATATCTGACAGTGATCATTACACAGTGTGGCTCTAATTCCTCACTTCACCATCTTTGTCGCAGCTTTCTGTCTCCAAAGTGAGTGTACGCATAAATCCAGCCCCTGCTCTGTATTCCCAACAAAAACAAACATGGCGACAAATGCTGAGTGGAAAATGATCGACTGTCTGGAGACTTGTGAGTAATCAATGTGTGCCTTAAATGAATCTGACTGGTTCTGGAGGCCCGCGGTGCGGCGCCGGGATGCTGAATTGACTCAGTGACAGTTGTGTCAGCAATGAAACTCCACTTTAGTAACTGACAGATACTTCAGCCTCGCTGGAAGCAGAGATTTAGCATATCCTGCGTCCTGGGTGGCGACCCCAATCAAGACGCTGGATTCAGTTCTATGTGCTGAGCTCCTGCAAGACATGAGCTGCATTACTGCCACTTAATTATTAGATTCTCTGATAAAGATTCAGATTAGGTGCTTTATTTTATAAAAAACATCATACCTGTGCAACAGCTTCAATGTTTGCCCTAAAACATCTTTTTTTTTTCAGATTCCCACTACTCATTACCAAGATTTGTTTCAAAAATATCTAAAATRTCATTTTATCCTCTCCAAAGTTGGAGTTGTTTCAGTCAAATTTTATAAATAATGCAAAAAAAGCAAATCTGAGTTTAAGTCCTTTTAATTTCTTTTCTGCCTGAAAGCTGGCKGATCCTTCAGCTGCTGCTTTGTTTACCTCGTAGAGGTCAACCATGACGTTCCCCTCCAGGCCCATGCTGCTGACCACGTTCTCCAGGGCCAGGGTGTAGAAGACCCCCGAGGTGTCCGACACGTACAGGTTGTAGGTTTCATTCTGGTTCCACTCCTGAACRGCAGCAACCACTCGGTTCTCATCCGTGCTGATGACGTGCAGCTCCTGGGAGGCAGAGAGAACAGATTACTGATAATCTGCTGACGGTTTCTTTGCTTCGTTCTGCTTTTAAAAACTTTTAATTAATGTCATTTTAGATAATAAGTGAAATAATCTGGAAACATTTTCATTTAATTTAGGATTTATATCTATTCAAACCTAAGAACAAACAAAAACAATGGCATTTTTTATACTTTGGGATATTGGGATCTGATTATTTGATTATTTAACACTGAATAACTACTGAAATTTGCAAAAAAAAATAGATGAAACAGAGCTGTTAAAGATAAAAACATCAAAAACATTAGCTAAAAGGCAAAATGATAAGCTTAATAAGAGGCTAGCTAAATGTAGCAGAAGGCTACCACAAGCTGATCCATGCTAGTCGCTAGCCTCTCTCATGCTAACACAAATGAATAGTCTCCTTCTCATTAGCCAGCTCCAGCTGCTCAGTTAGCGGTGCCAGCCTATCATTAATCAGATTAATATCTGGATTAGTAATAGATATAGCCTCCTGCTATAAGGATGTAGCAACCTCTGGTTGTGCAATAGATKTAATTTTGGCCCTCATACTGTGTCATACAGCTAGAAACTAAAAGTAGCTGAAGGCCATCTAAAAGGTTAGGCGAAAAACTGTGCAACAAAACAAAACATAGACCAAATCTGCTGCAGCAAATGTCAAAGAAAACAATATTTAAAGGAATTAAATAGTGTTTCTATTGGAAAACATCTGTAAACAAAGAWAAATCTTATGTTGCACAAACGAAAAGTGACCAAACCATCCATCTACTGAATGAGCTGAACATTTTGATAGCTACATTTCTGAATTATTGCAAAAACACCTCACACAAATAAAGACGACAACCACAACTATTACAAATGAAGCTGTCATATTAATATCTGTAATTTACAGAATTTAAAGAGCGTCTAAATGAGTATTGCCAAGATTAGTTTTAATTTTCTGCTTCAATCAAAAACCTGATTATTTGTGTTCCAATAATCAACATAAAGACTTTAAGATGACACCTATTGTTCCTGCTCCTGCTGGGCCTAATCAGAACCATCAGAACTGCTCCTGTCTGGATTTGAACTAAGAGGAAACAGCGATCATTAAGACTTACAGTATTGGGCAGAAATGATTGGGCTGAGCTCGTGCTGTTTGCTTGTGCGCTTCATCTACCTCCGACTGGGCCAATGATACCTCAGAACCGAGCCAGAACAACCGGGCCACTCTGGGCTTGATTGAATAAAACATGTTTAATTGTCAGAGGGAATGTGATAAACGGGGTCACGCACACACGGCGCCAGATTGAATAACAATTCACAGAGAGCAACTTTTGGCCTTGATTTGCTCATAAATAAAGAGCAGAGACAGAATATAGCCAACTTCAGTCCTTGGACCAAACAGCTGAAAGCTAACTGCTATCTACCATTAAAAAAAATCAACAAAACCTTTAGGAACTGCAGCATTTTGTTCTACATGTACTTCACTCACATTTTACTGAAACGTTATTTATTCTTTATATTTTTTAATCATTTCTTTGTTTTTGGACTTTTTCAGTAAACTTACAGCTCAATCAGCCGTCCAGCACTCAAAATGTTCAGCTACTGCGGGACATTACATTATTTACTATTTTATTCTTTCAGAAATGCATCGAGAAYTTTTTATGTTTTCAAAAACTTAGTGATCATTGAAATTATCAGCCTGTTCAAAGATATTAAATAGTTTTAGTTTCAGCTACTTTTTTACTATTTTTACATTTTAGCTACTTTTTAGCTAATTATCCTTTCTGTCACTGGTTTGTTAATTTTATCTTTCAGCAAGTGTTTAGCTTATTTTAGCTTTTACCCACTATTTTGCTGGTTTCAGCTTTCAGCAAGTGTTCTGCTTGTTTTCACTTTGAGCTAGCGTTTTGCTAGTTTTAGCTATTAGCTAGTTTTCTAACCATTTTAGGCATTATTCTGAGGGTTTTAATTTTCATCTACAGATTTTGATCATTTTTAATTATGGCTACTATTTAGCTAGTTTTAGCTTTTAGCTACTTTTCATTTCATTGTAGCTTTTAAGCACTTGTCTTGCTCCTTTTGAATTTAATCTGTTTCCTGCTGGTTGCGTCTTTAATTACTCATAATGCCAGTTTTAAGTTTTAGCTACAGTTTTGATCACTTAACTTTTAGCTAGTGTTTTGCTGATTTTAGTTATTAGTTTTAGCTTCTGTTACGTTTATGGCTAGTTTTGATATATTTATATTTAGTTATTGTTCTGCTAGTTTTAACTTTTAACATTTTCCCCAGTTTTATCTATTTTCGTTCAGTTTTTTTTTACTTAGTTTTAGCTTATCTAACCAGTTTCAGCTGTCCTTCAGCTGCAGCCTGCACACTGTGTTTTTTGTGGGAAAAGCAAGTCTTTCCTTATTGAACTGGACTCAGGCGGATGCTCACCTTCGGCAGGGTGTACTTTGGCAGCTTCATGGGGGTGAAGACRTCTCTTTTGGCAGAAACGTAGTAGACCGGCCTCCCGGCAGTCGACACCTTGAGCCAGAAACAGTTTTGTGACAGAAAACAGAATTTTCACACTTTTCACAAAAGAGGGGCTGGAATATAGGACGGCTGTCTAAATATGTCCTTGACATATTTCCCACACAACACACAAACACCTACTATGTCTCTCCATCCTTGTGGGGACTTTCCATTGACTTCCATTCATTTGTTGGTAATTTTATAACCTAACCCTGACCATTTACACTAAAGTYAACCTCACAGGTACCTACCTGACCCTAAAACTAACCTAAATAAATTTACACCTCGGTCCTAACCACCCCCCCATCCACCCACCTAAAATCATCCTCCGAAGTTGTGGGGACCAGGAACACTCAGCCCCCATGAGGCTGCATTTTCCTGAAAAATCTAACCCTAACCCCACAAGTAGCAAAAACATGGGACCCCCCCCCCCCCCACACACACACACACACACACACACACACACACACACACACACACACACACACACACACACACACACACACACACACACACA